CCCAGAAATTCCAGATTGTTCTCCAGTTCTCTAAACTAGTATTTCTACCAAAGAAATGGAAATTATTAAATAAATAAGTTTTTATTTTTATTCTTCTTCGTTGAAAGATTTGAAAAAGAATTTGCCCAAGAAGTGAAATTAGAGAAAAGTAAATATCAGATAAAAAGGAATATTTTCTTCACGCTCCAAGAACATTAATTGCCAACTTTCTCCCTTCCTTAATCCCCCCCTTCCCCCACCTTCTTCAGCCTTTCCCCCTCTTACCCTCCCCCATCTCCGTCATACTCCTTCTTAAAGGTTTTTAACAGAATTAAATTAGATTTTTCTCCGATTATTTCGATTGTATTGAGAACCAATAAACTGGACAGATTTTGGAAATCCAATAAAAAATTTGTAAAAATGATTTCTATATTATTGTTTAATAACTTATTAATCAACGAAAATTATCCCACGAGAAAAAAAACGATTGAGAGAAAGTTAAAGTTAAAATTTTTTTAATGTTTAACGTAAAACAGTTTTCAAAATCTTTTCAACTTTTTGACCATTAATTATTTTTTGATATTGATTTACTTCCTCTCTGGCCCTTAATCATCTTTATTTTGCATTTTTCCTCTTATTATTTTTATCCTGATGAAATATTTGTCTTTTTTTGAATAAAATCTTAAAATTAGAAACGTATTTTTCAATATAATCTTAAAATTAGAAATACATTTTTCAATATAATCTTAGAATTAGAAATATATTTTTCAATATAATCTTAGAATTAGAAACATATTTTTCAATATAATCTAAAAATTAGAAACATATTTTTCAATATAATCTTAAAATTAGAAACATAATTTTTAATATAATCTTAAAATTAGAAACATATTTTTGAAAACTCTTCAAAATATTTTTAGAAAAAACCTGGTCCTGCTTCCCTATTTTAGGAGTAACCTTTAAACAAGATAAAATAAACATTGGAAAGAATGCAGGCGGCTGTGGGAGGTGGGAAAAGGATAGTTTAACGTTGGACTATATCTATTTTCTATCTACGAGTCTATCTATATTTCTATTTGTCTGAATGTCTATCTATGACCTATGTATCTCTTAACGTGTCTATTAATGTCTTCATGAATAAGTACTAAAAAAGTAAATATTTTGCTTGAAATTAGGACATTAATCTAAAGTTTATATCAATAAAGACGTTGTATTTCTGATAAAAGTGTTCATGTTTATAGGTTTCCATTTGTGTAAAATGTAAATTGTACAATTTGTAGAATCTGAGAGTCAATGAGACATTGGTACACCAACACAGTGTACAATATTGGATTTATGATATTGGATTTCAAGGGAAAAGTGAACAATACTTGAGTATGATTCCCTCCTGCAGTTTCTATATTGTTTTCAACTGATAACAGTACTCCAACTATTATCTATACATAGTGCAAATATATTCAAACTAAATCATATTTCAATTTCTTTAAATATATTACATTTTTTCATGCTTCCGATCTTTTAGTAGTTAATTGATTTGTATTTTTTTTAGTGTTTGGATAAAGCAATTGAGTCTTTTTCACAAACTCTGATTTTCTAATTTTTAATCCCTTTATCTTTGCAACCCAATGTCGTAGACCTTAAATATTTCAAACTATGAATCAAATAACCTAAGTTTGCCATATCAAAGATATAGGGATTAGAAATTTTGAGTCTGATGCAAAGACTCAATTCTCGTTTATCCAAGGAATCTTTTGATTCAAAAGTTTATGAATTGGGTATCGAGCTCAGACGATGTGACTAAACACTTTCTCAACCAAACTGTTTAAAGGAAATAAGCGTAATTTCAATTGACCCTCTAAGCAAAGATGACAATGTCTGATTCACTTTAAAATTATAAACATTAAAATACGATTCATACTTGATCAGACAGAGCTTTTAAAAATACCGTTGTGTATCTTTGCATGGAGGGTCACTTGAAATTCATCATGTTCAGGGCTGCCCCCGTTGTGGAGGTGCTGTCTATGAGGCAGAGAAACTCACTGTCAAGGATGAGGTAAGTGTAGTGTTGTTAATCTTTTGGATCGTTTTGGATCGTTTTGGATAGTTTAAGATCGTTATGGAAATTTTTGGATCGTTTTGGATCTTTCTAGATCATTTTGGATCTTTTTGGATCGTTTTAGATCGTTTTTGAAAACATTTGATAAAAGTTTCAACATTTCAAAATTGTCATAATTAACTTACACATATATAAAAGTTTAAAATTTTATCCTATAAAAAATGTAAAAAAAACTACCCAAAAACGATCATTATATAACTTTAGTTTTCTGATCGTTTATGTCTGTATTTCTGTCAGGGTGAAAACTTTGCATAATGCAAGAAAAGAAAACATTTAGAGTTAGCAGTTTTGAAAACAAATGCTTTGTTTACACTGTGCCGAGTTTTGACCATGAAAGCAAATTTTGGCAAAAAACGGAATGCACGTCCCTGGGTGTGTGAGAGTAAAATATTAAATTTCAAAAACTTGATGAACTTTCAGTTTTACCACAAGAGATGCTTCACTTGTAAAAGATGCACCCGTCCCATGGACTCTCTCATGGTCACAGTGGCTCCAGGTAAATTATAATTTTTTATCTATAAAGGGAGTGTTCATCTTTTTCAAAATCTTCACAATTTTGGAATTTAGAAAAACATCTTAAATGTTATAAAATTGATTTCTAAAAATTTCAGTGAAAGGATTTGAGACTTTGTTACTATTGTTTTTATTTTAAATGCATAACTAAAACTAAGCTTTATATGTTTTGATAAAACTTTGATATAAATAATTTTGATAAATAGCTATCCACATGATAAACATAATAGTTTAACGCATGTCACGTTAAACTAATATTTGACCGTTAAGTTTTCTTTTCTCATAATTATGCGTGAAATCAAAACAAGAGGAGCTACGAGGTCACAAAATCTTAATGTGTCATAAATTATACCGCAGTGAGAAGACAATTAAATTACACTTTTTGCAGTTTAGTGTTTAAAGGGACTGTATACGTAATTTCAAGTGACCTTCCCTTTAAAAGATGGGCATGCCAGATTCACAATGGTACCCTTCAAACCTTTGACTGATGTTCCTCTTTTAAACGGAGGGTAACTTGAATTTACACATACACAGTCCCTTTAAGGGAGGTTTTATTTTATCTATTAATTATTTAAAATTGTGTGTCTGTTTATAGACCAAGACATCTACTGCAATGTCTGCCTGAAGATAGTAACAGCACCTGAGCGTCCTAATGTTCTCACTGATACAACTATCATCATGGGCTCAGGAGATGTGGAAACCAAGGACAGCTGTCCTCGTTGTGGTGGAAAGGTATTACTATATAAATATCTAGTAATTTAGCAAGCACTGACAAAAATTCCATGAGCATTTTGCCAATTACTTCTTTAACTGAAGCGAAAACAAGTTCTAAAGTCTTGAGCTACAAAAAAGTATGAGTGAGTTAGTAAGGTCAAATCAAAGGTTAATGCGTTGCAACAATCTAAAGTTAACCCAATCATGAAAAATGATTTTTAAATTATCCAGATTTCTTTTCCCAGGTGTTCGAAGCTGAAAAGATGACCGGAAAGTTTGGTTATTATCACAAGAAGTGCTTCAAGTGTCTCAAGTGCAAGAGGCCACTAGACTATCAGTCGCTCTCAGAAGGTGATAAACACAACATGTTTTAAAGGGATTTCCTATGTAATTTCAAGCGACCTGTTATTTAGAGAGGGTCATGCATGCCAGATTTTAAATGGTATCCTTAAAACCTTAATTTGATCAATAATGTTTAATTTTGTTATTTTTACCATTGTTTCATTTTCAAAGAGACCCCAGATATTCTCAAATAATTTTCAAAAACAAAAACATGGATATCTATTTCATGTTTGATAAGAAAAGCTTTTATTGGGTACCGTTGTGACATTCTATAAATGGGTTACCTAAAATTACTTTTAATGTCGCTGTAAAGGGACTGTTCGCGAAAAATTAAAGGCTTACGGCGAAAAAAAAAGCGATTTGATTGCTACTAATCATATTTCTATCTGTTGCGTCTATCACGAGAAAATTGTTAAAAACTACTTAAACTGATTAGAACGTAGCTTCCATACAAATTCAGAAAGTTGCAACATTTATTTCGGATCGTAAACAGATCAATTTAATTTCAAACAAATCATACAGATATTACAAACAATAGTCATCGATAAATTTTCGACATGTTCGTTATATTTGATACTTCATATTATTTTTTATTTTTCATGATTTGAGAGTTACTTTTGAAAACATTCATTCCTGTTTCGAGGATTTTTGATAATGAAGACGATATTTTCATATTTTCCAGGAATGTCCGAAAATCCAGCGCCAGCGAAATATTATTTAAAAAACAAAATCATATTTATTATTTTAATCAAATATCAAAATGTGACACAAGTTTCTACATGCATTTTTCAAAGATTTTTCAAAAAAAATTTATCTATTGGTTTTAAGAATCCTCAATTTTATCATTGAAAATGTACAATTTATTCTATTCTGTAAAAGTAAAATTATAATTAGAATTTTTTTTAAATCTTTGAAAAGAAGACCGAGCATATTTACCATTTCAGTTATTACGTAATTATCGAAACCTTCAACATATAAATTATTCATTCTTGTATTTAAAAGTTCTTATACCCCCTTTTATTTTTCGCGAACACTCCCTTTAAGCTAGGAGTTAAATATTTGCTCTCATCTTATTTGATTTAGGCCCAGATAATGAAGTGTATTGTAAGAACTGTTATGCTTATGAGCACGGACACAAGTCCAAACCAAATCTTCATGATTCTGATGTTACTCTTCTAAAGGTATGTATATAGTTTACTTATTTTTTAACACTAGCTGCCCGGCGTTGGCCGTAGAATTTTTTTAAAGCCTATGTTACCTCCGGGGTACTTAATAGTTCCCTAGAAAATGTTCAACTCAGTTGGTTCGGGCGTTTTGCCAGCTGTAGCTGACATATATAATGAGCTTTATTATTTACCATTATCAATAAATTGTTTAGAAGCCGGAGGGGGGAGATCAATAGTTTACAATTCCGTTTTCTCATTGGTAAAATATCTGGTTTTGGAATCGAAACAACAATTAGAAAAGAATTTTTTCTGACAAGCTTGCCTTCCAGTGTGTGAAATAACTCATGCTGGTGGAAGAGATAAAAATGTGAATAAAAATTTCACATAATAACTTTGAATTCAGATCAGAGTTCTAAGTAAAATTATAAATTTTAGTTGGTGATTAACTTGAAAAGGGGCAGCAAGAAATTAGCATCTTTTGTTTACCGGTGTCTTTTCTGGCTTTAAAGTCATATTTACACCGAAATTTTAATATTACAGAAAAATTCTTTTCCTTATTATTGTTCAGATTTAAATTACCCATACATACAACTATAGATGATCATTTAGGTTTTATTTTTTTCTCCAGATATTTTCTCTCAGGATCAAAATTTGGCTTAGAAAAAAACAAATTTTCAAAATTCTATATTCTATAAGACATTTACTTATCTTACATTGACAATATACGCAAAAAAACGAACCTAAAACGAACCTAAAACGAACCTAAAACGAACGGTAGTTTTTTTGGTTCGTTTTATGCTGCAACTTGCAAAGTTAAATTAAAGCATAACAGAATACAGTTTTAAAACGTTTCCTTAAAGCTTTTCATGCATCTGCATGAGGTAATCAAAATTAAGATAAAAAGGTTTATAAAATGGTCACAAAACATAGATTTAAATTTGTTGCACTGTAGGGAGAAGATGGTGAGCCAGATGTTTGCCCACGCTGCTGTGGTAAAGTGTTTGAAGCTGAGAAACAGATTGCTAAACCTGGAAGCTATCACAGGTTAGACATTTTCATCGTTGTCCTATCTTAAAGGGACTGTAAGCGTAACTTCAAGTGACCCTCCATGCAAAAATGGAAATCTCCAATTAGCAATGGTACCCTTACAAGCATTGTTTTCATTTTGAAGCCCGATTACTTTTTATTGTGGTTTCTCTACAAAAGTGATTTGCGCATTTCCATTGCAGGAAAACTTACAGGAATTATCAGAATTTAACACTTTTAAACATAGAAAAACGACAATATCTTCCACAATATTTATCAGACAAATGGTACTGCTGTGGATCTGGCATTGCCATATTTGTATGGATGGTCATTTAAATTACGTTTAAAGTCAATTTAAACGGAAAATAATAAAAATAATGGAAATTTTTAATATTATTGAAATATATTTGATTTTATAAGTATTTAAATTTTGAAGGAAGTGTTTCACTTGCGCTGAGTGTAAGCACCAAATGGATCCAAGGTAAATTATCTAATTTAACAAACTCTGATTCTGATGGTCTAATCCCTATATTAATTATTAATTAATTATTAATCAAAATTTAAAATATTAAAGATTTACCGCATAATGTTACAAAGATATAGGGATTAAAAAATCAGAGTTTGTGGCAGAGACTCATTCCTTTTAACCTGTTTTTTTTCATAGAGGATTTGCTAATGGTCCTGATAATGAAATCTACTGTCTGTTCTGCTATGACAAGATTCATGGTAAAAAGGCCAAAACAAAGTCAATGCCCTTGGATACTACTTCCATTGAAGGAGATGGTGAACTTGGTACTTGCCCCAGGTGCAACAATTATTCTAAAAGAACTTAATATTAATTTATACCCTAAAAACGGGTTTCAGTTACTTTCCAAGTGACAAGTGAAAATGTCGTTTTCCCATATGTGCAATTTCCCAAGCGGTAACTTCCTAAATATTCATTTAAGGTTAGGTTAGGCTTCCTGAGGCGCCACAGGCCGAGCATTGCGGCTATGATGGGCCAAGAGGCTGTGTTTGCGGCTAGGTCGTGCTTGGGGGCAAATCACTGCGGCTAGGATAGACTTAGAAAGTTGCCACTTGGGTAAATACCCTTGGAAAGTTACTGATTGGAAAATACCTTTTTGGGAAAGTCCCTAACATCTAAAACAGGAATTAAATCTGTCTGTAAAATAACAAATTGTACTTTAGATGCACCGGTAAAGTATTTGCAGCTGAAAAAATGGTTGCTGCCAGTGGATTTTACCACAGGTGAGAATACTAATAATTATAATAATAATTATAAAAAATACATTTTTTCTTTTAGGAAAGTTCTTTTTTATTATTAAAAATAAAAATTAAAGAAAAGATATAACTTTCTTTTTAATATTCTTTTTTAACTTCAATAATTTATTTTTTGTAATATTACAATATTTTTAAATATTTATATGATATCAGATGGAAATATTTGAGATATTTATATTTCTTGTTCGTAATTTTTTTCTTGTTGGTCTATCCTTCCATCATACTTCGGCTAATTTTGAAAATAAAAATAAAATAATTTTTTTGGATGTCTTCCATTGCAGTTCAGTCCTCGCAGCTGGTGGAGTAAAAACCTGTATCGTTGTGCATGGTTTGTATACCCAACAGGGGTTAAACTCCTTCTTTTAGTTAACCAGGCTGAAGATGAAGTCTTGTTTTAATCTATGTACTTTCCATGCTCCCCTGTAGGATACAAGATGTACAACTAAACACAGCACTTCCCCAGACTGTAATTCTGGGTCAGCAGAAAATAGGTCTGCTCTCTTCGGAGAAAGTCAGGCAACTGTTTTTTTGATTATATAAATAAACCTTTTGTAGACATTGCTTCCGGTGTTCTTTCTGCTCTCAGCCGCTTGATTCAACAAGTGTATGTGATGGTCCTGACAATAAGGTTCAAACAATAATTAATTATTAATGAAATAATCACTGTAATTCATTTAATTTTGTTAACATATTGATATAATTTTTAGATTTATTGTCGCGTCTGCTATAAAAAGCTTCGAGGAAGCTCTAAGCCTAAGTTCTATGATGAAGCTTCAGTTGCTACTCATACTATTCAAGGAAAGGAGAATGAAAAGGCCTGTCCAAGATGCAATGGCATGGTAATAACATTTTTATTCAATAAGTATAATAAAGGATTTTAAATGTTATCAGATCAAAAATTAGTTAATGTTTTTACACCAGGGTTATTGTCAAGTTAGGACAATAGTACCATGTTTTTGCTGCATATAAGAGTTAAATTGCTACTAAAATTTTTTTTTACAATAATTTATCTATCAAATGTCACTGATTGTATGTTTTAGGTATACCCTGCTGAGAAGATGGTATCTCTTAACCACTGGTACCACAAGAAATGCTTCTCTTGTCTTGATTGCCAGCGGCCAATGGATCAATTCATTGCTTGTGACTCTCCTGATGGAGAAATATTATGCAAGGGGTGCTACAACAAGAAGTTCAGTTGTGCTGCTTATACCATGTCTGGTGGTGACATGCTTAAGTTCCTTAGCACCACTACAATTATGGCAGAAGATGGAGATCTTACAGCCTGTCCAAGGTGTAATGGAAAAGTTTTCCATAATGAGAGAGTTGTGAGTAATGGGAGAAACTACCACAAGAAGTGTGCTAACTGCAAGACTTGTGAGAAGAACATTGGGACTAAGGACATCTGTGACGGTAAGGATGGAGATATTTACTGCAAAAGTTGCTATGCTCGCAAGTTTGGGGCCCCAGGCTATCGTGGAGCTGGATGTGGAGATTGGACTGATGCAAATTCTGCAGAAACACTCAGGCCACACACATCAACTGATACATCTCTCATCAAGGGAAATGATAAAGATGACAGCACTTGCCACCGGTGTGGTGGGAAAACATTTGAGATGGAAAGAAAATTGTCAAAGACAGGTGCTTGGCATACAAAGTGTTTCTGCTGTGTTAAATGCACAAAGCCCTTCTTGAACCTCCATTATGTTTATGAGGGTGCAGATAAAGAGATCTATTGCAAGCCTTGCTTTCGCAAATCCTTTCCAAAAAATGAGACACCGCTGACATTTTCAGATACAACCAAAATTGCTGCACAAAGTGATGAAACTGCATGCCCAAGATGCGCAGGTGCAGTTTTCTCTGCAGAACAGATGGAGATAAAGGGAAAGCTTTACCATAAGAAGTGCATGACCTGCAAAAATTGCACACGACCCATCAGTATTGATTTGATGGCCATAGGTCCAGATGAGGATCTTTACTGCACAATTTGCTGCCACAAGATGTCTTGGCCTGGAAGATACACACTTGCTGTAGATACTTCTGTGATTCCAGGAGAAAGTGGAGACAGAGAAAGCTGTCCAAAATGTAATGGTAAAGTGTTTGAAGCTGAGAAGATGATCACAAAGAGAGGCTTATATCATAAGAAATGCTTTGCATGCATTAAATGTAAACATCAACTTGATTACTTTCTGGCGATTGAAGGCCCTGATGACGAGGTTTATTGCAAGGTGTGCTATGGCAGATATTTTGGGCCAGGTGGAAGAAATCAGTTTGGAGATAACAGCATCTTTCCAACAGATGAGACTGATGAAGATGCTTGTGTCAGGTGCAAAGGAAAAGTGTTTGAAGCTGAAAGAGTGGTGGCTAAAGCAGGCCCTTTTCACAAGTACTGCTTGAACTGTGCAGAATGTCATGCCAACTTGGATGCTGGATTCTTCAATGGACCAGAGGGAGAGATTTTCTGTCGTCATTGCTATGCAGTCAAATTTGGTCACAAGGCCAAATCTGAGTACAAAGGTTGGATGGATTCACAAACAATAATGGGAGAAAAGGGAAATCAAGACACATGCCCAAGATGCAATGGAAAAGTTTTTGAAGCAGAAAAATGTCCGACTAAGGTTGGAAACTTCCACAAGAATTGCTACTCCTGCATTGAGTGTGTTAGGAAGTTAGACTCTGTCACTTGTTGCGAGGGCCCAGACGGAGAGATATATTGCAAATCCTGCTATGCTTACTCCTTTGGATCAAAGTCCAGATCCAGGTCTCGTGCTACAAAGCTCTTGGGCCCGAGATCTAAAAACCTTGGCAAGTTTTATGATAATGAGGATGACATGCTTGCCCGTTCTACGATTGAAACATGGGTCATCAAAGGAGACAGGGACAGCCAAGACTGCTGCCCTAAATGTGAGGGTAAAGTCTTTGAGGCTGAGAAGATGGTGACTGCTGCTGGAAAATGGTATCACAAGAACTGCTTCAAGTGTCATGAATGCCTTGCTGTTCTTGACTCCCTGAAGAACAATGATGGCCCTGATGGAAACATTTATTGTAAGATGTGCTATAATAAAAACTATGGTCCTCAAAACAGACCATCTGATATAGACCTTAAGGCCCGAAATACTGGACTGATCAAATCCAGTGATGAAAAGAAAAACTGCCCTCGGTGTGGAGGTGGAGTCTTCTCAGCTGAGGAAATATTCTCCAAGGGTCGCAGTTATCACAAAAAATGTGCAACATGTTTGGGATGCGAGCAGCAACTTACTTTTAACACTATCTTTGATGGTATTTTTAATCACAGTTTCTCTAAAATTTAAATTTAAAAAAATCTTTAATTCCTTTTTTAATGATGTCATTTTTTAGGTGATGATAACGAGATATACTGCAAGCATTGCTATCACCGTAGATTTGCTGCTGTTGGATATAGAGGAGCTGGATCTTCAGATTGGGTTGATGGAGATTCTGCCAATGTTCTGAGGCATAGTTTCCAGGCCTTTTAACTTTATATCTGTTAGATAAACATTGTTAAAAAGTCATGCTTATCATATACATTATAGAAATGTATATGTAAGTATTCATGAATCGATTTGTTTTGTGTGGATTTTTCATTGTAAATTTAACAATTATTCAAGATAAAAAGTGTGAACTATTATGTAAACACTGAACTAACCTTAGACTTCTTACTGCACCAAGATATTGAATTGTATGTATTGTAACTTAATATATTGTAACTTTAAGATGTGTCGAAATAGAAATGGTTCTGGTTTTTAGTTTTTGTTTTTAATCTTAGGCAAGTGCAAAGATGTATATAGTAGTTGGCAGAATGATTATTGTAAAGTATCTAGTCAAACCCAATTTATATTTTTTTATGTCATTTTCCCTTCTCGGTTTTTAGACAGTGACAAGAATTATTTTTACAACCTAGGATAGTGTAAACCTTTGATATCGCAAATGTAGATCATTTGATCTAACAAAATTTGTAGTTTAAAATACCTAAGAACATTGTGTTCAAGGGCGTATACAGGGGGCAAGCCGGGGGCAGTGCCCCCCAGATCTTTAATGGGGGGGGCTCAGCCCCCCGCCATATAACTCAGAGCTTTCATACTTTTCAAATCTTAAACTGAAGAGTGAACAACATAAAAAACTATAAAGGTTGTATTCGTGGACCAGAGCCACCATGACAGATGTCCGAAGGAAAATCTATCTAGAATGAACATTCATCCTAATCGGATTGGCGCTATCTGGGATAGCGAAGTATAAATTACTTTTAAATTCCAAGCCATGAAGGCTTGAGTTTGGAGTTAGTAAAAAACCATTTTTAGTTCTTAATGTGGATTTAATTTACTTTATTCATTGCACTGCCGCTTTGTTATCTTTCTTTTTATTACAAACCAGATGAAGTGCCCGGCGTTGCCCATGGCCTTTTAAAAATGGAAATAAAACAAAAAACGTATAATTTATTTAGCTTATGAGTTTCCTATCTATGAGTTTCCTCACTATAATTCAGCCCATTTGATTCAGACGTTTTGGCCAGCCATAGCAAACATATACATATGAACAAAGAGCTTTATAGATTTCAATTGTAGTCCTTCTTTTTTTCCCAACTGAAAAATTTATGTCAGTTAAAATATTTCATTTTAATACAATAAACTTTTAGTTTCTAAAAGATGAGCAGAGACACCTGCAAGTGTTGTGATTTTGCAACAATGAAACATGAAGTTCTTCCCATGATATCTCAAATATTTTACGCGTGATATTTACAAGAATTAAAATCTGGATATTCTGGCATTACATTACTCATGATTAAGACGTTTGGAATCTGAAAGGTATTGCACTGGTATCTTTGCTACGAGCACAACATGTGAAATAACGACAAAGGGTGAACTATAAGAATTATCTCAAATATATTACACATGATAATTACGAGAATTAAAATCTAAAAATACTGGCATTGCACTACTCGAGTTTAACACGATAGGAATATGCAAGATCTTGCACTGGTTTATTTTGCTACGTGTACTACATGTGAAATAACGACGAGAATTTTCAAAGATTATTTTCGCGTTATTTACCCGTGCTTTACACAGGAGGAATCTTCAAGATTGTGAAGTATAACACAAAGAGGGTCCGTGAATTAATCACGTGAATTATCAACCAGTTCTCCATGATGCTAATCTCGTTGAAAACCTGTGTTTTGTTTGTTGGGAAGGTGGCGGTGATTACCCATTGAGGACTTCTGCACTCCCCCCACGCCAAAACGAGACTGGACATCTTACAATTAAGCCTTTCATAAAGTGGTCTACCAATTTCTGGAGTCTTAATAATTGACGAAGATATTAGAATTTAAGACAATTTTGATTAACTAGCCTTAGAGGGCGCTTCGCCCTATCTTCTAAATTAATTGTGAACATGTTCTCATTGTGTACATCGTAAAACAAAATAAAAATAATTCGCGGATTTTCACAAAAAATTTCGTGGATTTTCAAAATTTTAAAAAATTTAATGAAGATCGAATTTTGATGGAGACAAATATTTAAAATTTCAATCATTCATAAACCTTCCCTGGCGGTCCCTGATGTCCCACAAAAAATTTGTGCCCGATCGGTTCAGCCGTTTTGACGTTTATTGGATACAAACAGACAGACAAGCCAAATTTATATATAGATGATAGTATAATTTGAAATTTTTGCAAATTTTGCCATATCTCTTTCTATTATGAAGATACAAAAATGGTAGACCATATTTTGAAAATCTTAAGACCAGACGTTTTCGTATAGTAGATGTTTAAACTGGAATACTATAGTGCAACAACTTTATTCATTAAAAATTTCCGTAGGGATAGAATTGGCAATAGTTATAATTCCCATGTTTATTAATGATTGGGACACCCTGTGTAGATGACTGACTTTTATCAAGTTAAAAAAGTAGAAAAGAAAAAGTAAAAAATTCTACAGTGAGAACCATAAAAACTGTTCAATAGGAAGACGACTTTAAGGCTCAAGTTATTTTTAAATAGTCCAAGAAAAATGAAGCACAGCAATTTTGCAGTGTGCGCACAGAGGGAGACCGAAGGCACACCACACCACTTTTTCGTCCGGAACTGTTTATATTCTTTATTAAGTACTTTAAACCTGGAAACGTGCAAATACGCCTCATTGCACAGAAATGCCTCAAAAAAGCGGAAACCCCTCATAAAGTAGTTTTTTGAGTTGTTTCCGCGAATTCTGTGAGAAATGCAGAAATTCCCTGCCAAAATTGCATGGCTAAAANTTCCTACCTTAGTGAAGGAGTAATTTAACTTCTCTCTTAGTTCTACCAAATCTCTTGTTTAAAAATTTCCATCTCTCTTTACTCGTATTTTAATCACTCTTGGTAAATTTATTGAACAGTCAACATAGATTAAAGGGACTGTCAGCGTAATTTCAAGTGACCCTCCATTGTACGCTGTGTTGAGTTTGTAGTGTACGTAGTGCACACTGGGAAATGCAGCTAAACCCAAGCGGGGTTCGATTAGTTTACTTGCATATATTTCTGTACTCGACGAAAACACAAAGGTGTTAAGGGTACTATTGTAAATCGGACAATGCCCTGTTTGCATGTAGGGCCAGTATAAATTACGCTTGCACAGTCCCTTTAATGTTTAAATCAGTATATGCAACAGAAACCAGTAGGTATATAATCAGTCCATTTTATAATCTTGTTTATCTATATTTTAGGAAGCTGGATTTTATACGGTAGAATCGGTTGTCTACGCGCCGAGGAAAAAACTGCTCGATATAAAGGAACAGAGCATACACTTTAACATAACTTAGAATTAATAATAACAGTTATTATCATGCCATACTTAAGTGGGTTATCATGCAGTTCTAAAACATATGAAGTTTGATTCCTTGTGAACATTGACAAGTTTAAATCCCTGTTGACCTAAAAGTTAATATCCCTGTAAACCTAAAAAAGTTTATATCCTTGTAAACATAATAAAGTTTATATATCCATGTAAACATAGACAAATTTAAGTCTCTGTTAACATGGACAAGTTTATATCCATTTAAAAATATAAAAGTTTTTAACCCTGTAAACATATGAAAGTTTATATCCCTGTAATCATATAAAAGTTAATATCCCTGTAAACCTAAAAAGTTTATATCCTTGTGAACATATTTAAGTGTTCATTCCTGTAAACATATTTAAGTTTATATCCCTGTAAACATATATAAGTTTATATCCCCGTAAACATGGAAAATTTTTTATCCCTGTAAACCTCTAAAAGTGTTTGTTTGGTGCAGGGTATATCTGAAGCTAAGGCAGAGAAGATCCAGGTGGAGGGGTTCAAGCTTGTCCCAACAGGGTTCACCACAGCTACAGAGATGCATCTCAAAAGATCACAAATGATTCAAATCACAACAGGTAACTAGGGTATAAACTTTTAAAGAAGATAATCTTTAATTATCATCCCCCTTTTTGTTCCCAATGCTAGATCCTCATTCCCTTAGGGCTTGTTCTCAATGGTCCATTTTTTCAGTGCATGTTCTTGTGAGAAAACATTTCAACTTTTGAGAAACTATCTGGGCTTGTAAGAAAATATTTGATCTTGTGAGAAAGTATTTGATCTTATTAGAAAATATTTGATCTTGTGAGAAAGTATTTGATCTTATTAGAAAATATTTTATATCATGAGAAAATAATTGATCTTTTGAGAAAATATTTGATCATGTGAGAAAAAATTTGATCTTGTATGAAAGTATTTAAGCTTTTGAGAAAATATCTGATCTTGTTAGAAAATATTTGGTATTTAGAGAAAATATTTGATCTTGTGAGAAAATATTTGATCTTGTGAGAAAGTATTCCGTCTATTAGTGACGCCTAGTGGTAATATTTGTAACTAACTCAGGATCTCGTGAGCTGGATAAACTATTGAACGGAGGTATTGAGACTGGATCTGTTACTGAGATGTTTGGAGAGTTTAGAACTGGAAAATCTCAGCTGTGTCACACCCTGGCTGTAACATGCCAGCTACCTATAGATAACGGAGGAGCTGAAGGGAAATGTTTGTATATAGATACAGAAGGAACATTCAGGTATTTCCCTTTCTTCAATTGGAAATAGAGGATTCTGAAAGGTCTGAAATGTTTTAAGCTTCTAGCACTTCTCAGGTGTAAGAGAAAAATCAGAATTGTGTTAGAAATTCAATGTTTTTTCAAAGTTTTTGTGATTCATAAATTAGAAAAATAGCTGTTTTTTGTTGTTGACGGGTG